TTGATTTAAATACAAATTTGTTGTTTTCTTGAAATTTGTTGTTTTCTTGAATTATTGCAGGATTTTTAACCGGTAGATTCTGATTTCCGATCAATCATTATAACTTCACATCAGGTTCATAGATCTAACAATACTGGGAGGTCGTGGTACACTCCACGGCACAGTTTACAATGATTCTTTCTCAGTGGTGATACCCTCCCGTCACACTGATACCACTTTCCAAACAACTGTTCAGGTAAGTGACTAGTACAAGTAAGTGACTAGTACAAGGCCATTATCATTCTTCAAATTGTGGTTTGGTATGTTTGGTTTGGTTGGGTCGACAGGAAAACAAGAATACTGTACAAGCAAATTGTTATTTAAAAATAAAACTGGATTCAACATTCAACACCACTCAAAAAAGTTTCAAAGTTATGGGACTGTTTCACCAAACAGCTGTGTCTTTAACATTTAATTCGTTTCTCCGGGCCAGCTCTTCCAGCTGCAATCCTTGTACTACTACTTCACCTTGTTCTTTAAAAAGATCCTGTCTTGATGGGCCGAGTGTCTGTTTAGGATTGGATTTGTGATGAGGATGTAGTTTTTGAAGGGTTTTTGTCTTCGACGGGCCGTGGTCTTTGTTGCGTAAACGATCTCATAAAGGAGAAAAGTTTAGTTTTTTAAAAACGTCTGAAACTTTGCACAGTGAGTGAGACGTGAGTAAATGAAGAAATTGGCCATCACATTTAGGTTTTGTAGTTTCAGCACTGCCCGAAGTGTAGTGTTGCTGTACTGCAACCCCATGAACATGCCTCCAAACACGACACTGAAAGGCAGGGACGAGAGGAAGTAAATCCCCACGGTTAGCAGCACTGTGACCACACCCTCCCACCTCACTGTCTCCCCGTGCCGGGATCCAGCCCTCCAAGCCACCACCAAGAGGAGAATGGATGTAGCTACTACTGTAATGTTGGAGAGGATAGCAATGATGGTGATAAACCACACAAAATACTGGGAATACCAGGCCGGAACACTGGTCGAGTAGTAGTCGTAGTTACAGCTGTAGAACATGTAGCTGAAGGTAATTGTTTATCTTATGTAAAAGAAGTTTACCACTAGTATTGGGGTAACGCAGCAAAGTGCAAGAAGCCAAAGTGCACAACAGATAGTATGTCCTAACCGGGTTGACCAAGCACCAGTTTTCAGAGGGTACTTGATGGTTATCAGTTTCAAGGTGGCTAATGCAGATGTCAGGAACACGGTCCCCAGCCCACACAGCAGTGCAATATTGAACTGGACGTGGCAAAACAGTTCTCCCATAACCCACCTATCAGTGATTAACGCTAAAGTGACGGGGAATACTCTGGTTACAGTTACGAGAAGGTCACTGATTGCCAGGTGCTGCATTACTGTTATCATTACTTTAGTGTAATATGTAGGCTGGTTGCAGCAGTTTTAAAGGACCAGTTAACTGAAAAAAAAGTTATCCTCATATTCTGACAGATTGTGACAAATAGCAAACTAAGCAACGAGTCGAAATTCCTAAATCTCTAACTGCTCTCTAACGCGTGTAAATAGCGTTTGTATTATTTTGGCGATGACGTCATAAAGTCCCTCACGCGCGCAGAAGAGCTCGTGAGACTGTATTTTACAGGTAGAAAATGGACATAATACAATCTTTTCCCCCAAATAACTCGAAAAGTAAGTAATTTAGGGTACATGTTGCTTCATAAGTTGTATATAAACATGGCCATTCTGCACAATTTGCACACATTTAAAAACCTTTAGGGCCTTCATAGCCCAAGTTACCAGATACCCATAGTTTTGCATGATTTCTGGAACCATAAATCAGTTTTTCGCCAATAACTGAAAAAGTAAGCACTTTAAGGCATATGTTTGTTCGTAAGTCATATATTAATATGCTCATTGCGGTTCTTTTGCACCCTGTCTAAAGACTCTATCACGATCCTATCGAAAATGGGCTCAGCACCACGCCCAAAATGGTTTTTGGCAAATTTCTCGAAAAGTAAGGATTTTAGGCCATGTGTTGCTCAATAACTCCTATATAAACATGCATATGCGGCTTCGTTTAAGCCTATTTTGAAGTCTCTACGACCTTCAGAAGCAAGGGGTCGGTTACGTTATTGGGTCAATATGGGCGTGGCCCTCCTGGGTTTTCTCCACGGTCAAAAAAATGTCTCGAAAATCGTTTATTCATACCTTCAGGAAGGTCTGTGCAAAGTTTCGTGAGTATTTGAACATTTGCAGGTTCATTTCCATAAATTTCCATAAATGACTGGAGTACACAACTTAAGAGTTAACTTTAGAGAAACTCATAAGTCATCTATCTCAAATTAAGCTGTTAGTGTCCATGATCAACTTGTGGCGACATAACAATGTTTTACGTGAAATGTAAAAATCAGGAGTAATATCAAAAGTGTGTTTTTAGATTAAAGTGCTAGCTCATAGTTTTAGAATTGTATAGATTATAACGTTGGTCGTTTAGCCATCTAACAATCGATCGTGCCGTAATATATGGCCAGAGAATAATAGGGTCTTGGAATTTCTATAATTGTTCAGTGGGTCGATTGACTGAACACGTTTGCACTTGGTATTTAAACTTACCAGTAGTTTATTTATGTTATGTACCGATGATAATGCAATTAGGATAACAACTAGGTAAGCCGTAAGTCTAATTCAAAACACACTGCACACCGTACACTCCGAACAGTATTACTGTTTGGTAAACCCGAGACCGGGTATTTTGGCGGGAATTCTGTTCCCACGGCACTGTTCTGATAGAAGCTACTTCTACTAATGGTCCCAGAGGAACGGCCGTAAAGTAGCCAGACTTTTTGTCTCCTGTACTGGCTGACACATGCGGATTATAGTTATAAATTTCGCTATGCTATAAATATAATTGCTCTCGGAATTGAACAAACTCCTACTTATCTAGATCGTTTCTAAATTCGTTAGAGTTTCATGGACTGGGGAAAAATAATCGGTACAGTCTCCCTAGCTGCTTGTGTAATTAAGCAATGAAAACAATCTAAAATTATCACATATGACATAAGTTGTAATAGCAGAAACTTTCTAATCGTACATTCACCCGCCACTGTTCAAGAACCTATATCACTGCGTCACACGTGTTTTATTGACGATGATAAACATTTGTAATGTAAATTACGCTATGCAAGCGCGCACTGAGGGACTTTATGACGTCACGAGGCCACAGCTTATTATTGCAATAACACGCGTTACACGTACGCTAGAGAGTTGGTTCTTTCGACGATACGATTCTTTACCAGTTTGTCACAGCTGATTTAAATCTTAGCCAAATTGGAGACTACAAATTTTTCAGTTAACTGGTCCTTTAACGTAGTCATATTTTAGATTAGTATAAGATTAAATTAGATTAGTGGAATAGATTATGGATGGTTTTGCGGAGGAAGGCACGTGTTAGTCAGGTTACTGTTATCATTACTTTGTGGAGTTTGATGGCTTTATATTTGATGGTTGCTATCAATATGATCCTGTCCCCGACAAGTGACACTGTTAGAACAAATACGTTCCATAGCATCAACAGTGATCTTCCTGCATCATCTTTGATTTCATAGATAGTTTTATTGTCTGTTTTCATGTTAGTTACAATAAAAGGGGATTAGCTCTGTAAATCAGAATATGATTTAAATAAGAGACTGTTTGCCACGAGAAGAATATTGAAAATGCTAGCGTGACGCACCGAACTGATGTAAGTTTACTGTTTATCCAGCTGGAGGCAAAAACAATAAATATATAAAGATACACAAGGACCAAACTTTCTAAGCACTGACTGCATTTATAAAAAGGTTGCACAAGCGGTCATGAATTGCAATAATTCATACGTTTTATATTAGGACAAAGTTAGGAACAACGTCAGCTGCTCATATCCAATGTTGTAATTTGTATTATTATATAATCTGTAAAGAAAGTGTACTCTTATCCTGGCCGGTGTTGAATCCACAACGCCCTCATGTTCAGGATGTAGAATTTATAGTATAACTTATAGTTGAGCTTGTAGTTTTAATTGTGAGAACATTTACCCTCCCACAGCTACTCAATCCCGCAATTAAAGGTTACTCATTTCTAACTACTCCCCAGATATGAGATCCCTGGAAATATTTGTTTTGTTTCACTTTCTGTCTTCACTTTCTGTTTCACGATTCTAACGGCTCATTCTCCAGATCACCTCACCGTGCTCAGAAGTGATGACCCTGGAAGTTTGTCTCTCGGTACTGTGGGGTAAAAATAAACAATGTAAAATCGTCAGCTGCACCGTCCAGGATGGTGACAGGTAACTACTAACTAACCATCTGAAGAAACTTTCGGAGGAGAAATTACTGACCAGTAACAATCTTGTTTGCCTGCGAATATTATTATTTCCTCTCTGTCCAGGATTGTTTGTCAATATAAACAGTCACCAAACAGTCAAACAAACACCAACAAATAGTCTAATTGACATGACTGTTTAGTAAAAACTATTTGGTTTAGGTTCGAAGACAAGAACAGGGGAGATGAGGCGGAAGTAGAATACGAAGCAGGGGTGGTGGACTCCTTCTTCAACCCCCGAGCCTGGATGAAGTACACTAACCCTGTGGAGTGGTTCAGAGGGGGTATGAGCACCGCCGAAGGGGTGATCATGAGTGTAGTCATCCTGGTGACCCTGGTGCTGGCTCTGGTGCTGGCTAGGGTCTGCTCATGTTGCTCTTGTTTAATAAATATTATTAAGAGACTTTGTTGTTGTGCTAAAAAGGCACGTGCTAAAAGAGTACAGGAACCACCAGCAATGGTTACCAAGCAGACCTCTAGGTCTGGACTTGATGGACAAGCTATATCTATGATATGATACGCATCAGTTAGGTGGACACCGTTGGAGCAAGAGGTCCAAATTTCAATTGGCTTAAAACTAGCTTTTAATCAATCAAGTTCTAACTTTTGAGTTCTTTGTTTATTTTATCATAATATCAACAAAATTAACTAGGTTTTGATGATAAAGTTATGTTTATAAATCTCAAGAATTGTTATCATACACCAAAATCTAAAAAAATACTCTTTAAAGTTTATATATTACAATTAAATGTCAGTCATTATCTTCAATTAATTCGTTATTTAAGGTTAAAATATTGCCGTTTTACTTCAATAGTCCAATACAATTACAAGGTTTTTGAAAGTTCATTTATGAACAGAGACCAGAAACAGTTACACCTATAAGCGACGAGGAGTGTTTATTTCTTTCCGATGGTCTCCTGTTTACAGGGTAGGTCCGTCTCCTGAACCAGGATGGAGATAGGGCAGAAGGGGTGGCTGGAGTGGGCCAGGTAGGTGGATGCGTAAGAGAAGCCGTTAGCTTTCTCTCCGTCACTAGCTCCGGTTCCAATCCATACGTAACAATGGGCACCTGGCCAAGAAGAGGATTTTAGTAACGAATATTTACATGGATTAAAAATATCATTTATTCGTTACCACTGAAGATAACTCGAACAACGAGCAACCATTCTGATATTTTACTTTGAAAATAAAACATTAAAGTCACTAAAGTAACAAACTACAAACGTTACTAGAAATAAGAGATAACCTACCAGTATCGACAATATAAACGTCTCCTTGGTCGAGGACGAGTCCCTCAAGGTCTGCTCCCTTGCCAACTTCAGCGAAGTCGTAGCTCTTGTCAGCCTTCTCGGTGAGTCTCAGCACAACCCTGTCTTCGGGTTTAGCCTCGTATCGCTGCAGACACAGAACTTAAAATATCCAAACATACTCCAACTCACACGTTAGAAGTTACCCAAAGTACAGTTATTGCATTGGGTGATTGAAATGTTAATAAAACTGGACAAAACAAGTTTGCATACCACATTCTCCTCTTTAGGTGGACCCCCGTCCCGGAGCGACTTCATGATCAGCCTGGTTCCATCACAATCCTCATCGGAAACCTCCATCTTGGCCTTGGGTCGGTCACTCCTCAGTTTAGCGCAGTATTGAGCTCCTTTCATTTGCTCGTCTTTATTGGCGTTTTTACCGTTGAACTGGAGAATTCGGAGACCAGCGTCAAGGACGAACACGTCATCAGAGTTGATTCGTTCCTTCCACATTCCAACCTCCTTAACCTGGTGAAAAGGAGAAATTAGATTACAGTTATTTGCAATTTGGTTATGCAATTTTAAGCGATTAATTAAGCAATTAAGCAATTGATATCAATAAGCATTTTGACTGAAATAGTCGACAAACCGTCACGGTATGAAAATACCGAGACAAGTAACTACTATTAAGGTATTAACTAACCACAACGTCAGTACGACCGCCCACCAGTTGGAGAAGTCTTGGCTCGTAGCACTCTGGAGGCACGTGTCTGAAACCAGTCTCAGCTCCTCCCTCCATAATGGAGATCATGCCGTTGAAGTAGGTCATGAACAAGTCAGACTCGTAACCCTGAACCTCCCTGGGAAGTGTTGCCTACTATTATTTTAGCAAGGGTGTTTATCAGAGACTCAATTCATAGCCATTTATTGCAAAATATTGTTAATACTATGGCTCTTTTAATTGAAGTGACGACATTTACGATTCAAATTGATAAAGTTAGCATGAGAATTGAGAGGTAAACTTTATAGTATCAACAACTTATATATTACCTGTGTTGGATGGGTTTGTCGTCCAGATAAGTGTCCAATTCAACGGTCTTATAGGCGGCAGTTCCGTACTCATCTTGTGTAGAGTGCTTTCCTGGGGGAATAGTCGCACGTTACCGAGGCAACCGGGGGGAATAGTCGCATGTTACCGAGGCAACCGGGGGATAGTCGCACGTTACCGAGGCAACCGGGGGAATAGTCGCACGTTACCGAGGCAACGGGGGGAATAGTCGCACGTTACCGAGGCAATTGGTCACTGGAGATTGGGGCAACCGGAGATTTAAGGACAACTATAAAATTGAAAGCTCTTTATATTCTACTTCAGATTGCACTGTGATGAGTGTTAAGGAAGCATGTGGTGAACTCACCAATCCAGAAATGGAGATCATACTTGATCTCGTCCTGCTCCAGCCACGTGTTGAGAATGATGTAGCTGTCTCCGCTGTAGAAACTGCTATAATCCTCTTCTGGCCAGTCAGTCACAATGAACTTCACAATCCTCCAGATCTTCAATCCCACTTTGGGCTCGTCACACTTCTTCCAGGCTGGCTCCTTGCCAGCAGCGTCCTTCTTCACCGCTCGGTCTGTGTCAGACCCGAACAGGGCCATGTTTGAGTCCTTCCAGTCATACTCCTTCGGCTTCACCATGCCGGACTTTTCTTCGCCCATCCTGAGTTCTGAATAATGTTCATTATTAGTAAATAAAGAACAACATTAAAATTAAATGTGATCAAATGTGATTTTATAAGCATAAATGAAGGAAAACTTGAAATAAACAGATCAACTGGGAGTCAGTCCTTGAAACTTGAAAGGTTAAATGCGAAAATTTGATTATTAGAAAATATGGGGAAACAACAGAATTAAAAAGGTAACAAGAATCCCAACACAAAGTGATACACAGCAGAGAATACAGTACGCATCCGGCAAAGGTTGCGTTAAATCCACTGGCTTCCCAGTTTGGCTCCGCTGATTGGCCAGCTTAGGTCACGTGGTGTAGTGGCAAGCTGTGATTGGCATTATACAGCCGCGAGGTTAAAACAAGGTAAATGGTTAGCGGAAAGGTTCAGGATGTACTTTATATTGAATAAAGTTACTTACACTGCTAATCTAGTTTAATAACTGGAGGCAAACTAAGCACCAACAAACGTTATTAACTTTAAGGCCTAAACTTGGCGATATATTTGATTATTTACAATTCAGCAAGGCCAAGATTAAATTACAGTTTGTTCCAAAATAATGTTATGTAATATTGACACCGGTAAAACGAACTGTTGGAGTATTACACAACATAATAATTATAAACAAGTAAAATATCCCAAGAAAGAGAGGACTTATAAAAAAGTTAAAGAAGAAGCCGACCAGCAAGTGCAACACAAACTCTCCGTGCAAGAACTGGTGGGCTGCGGAGGAACTGTCATCACTCGGTTAAATTCCACAGCAGCAGGCCATTCTGACAAGAATGTAAAACCGCCATATTTAGCGCTCCTGAAATATAATTAGTTAACAGTTCGACTACAATTACTCCTGAAGGAAGTTACAAATAAGCGACTTGCAGCGGCAAGAGGAGACGGTAAGTGTCCCATTTCAAATAAAAGCAATAAATAATATAAGCAAGTCGTGACGATCTAACGGCAGCCGCTAAACTGAAATGACTTGCTTTTAACATAATCTCACATATTTGACGAAGGTGTTTTCAGGGGTTGTCCGCGTCAGCACACGCTATTCATCGCTAAAATTCCTCAGAAATCTGTGACTAAGTCACACCCGTTTGGATAAGTGGTCACGGATTATCATTCTTCGGCATGTCAAATATAATATTTGAATATCATGAGCTCTGCATACGGTCGCCATGACAAGAGTTTTATGTTAAGTAATCTTATACAAATTACAAATACTCTAACACTGACAGAAACTTTAAAGCAAAGGATTGCGCCGCTGCGGTTTGAGACTGTTCATAAAATCTAAAACTGAATCTCAGAAAATATAACCGACATTTTTAGAACGGTTTAGACTATAAATTAAAGCTCATTCAATCTTCCACCTGTTAGTTTGGAACCTAACGTGTATCAAAATAACCGTACAAGCTTGGTTTTAATTCGTGTAAAATAAAGAGAAATCAATAATATGCTTTGTCTAAATGCTGAAGGAAGAATCGCAATAAATTAATCAAAAATGTCGCCAGTTTCAAATGACAATAAGCAATTGTTGCTGTATTGAAATAAAGTTATGATAACAAAAAAAACACTGTGTAGCTCTCCTTGTTGGAAAAAAGAACCAGCTGGTTACTCTCCAACATCAGTGACAATTTTCTCGCTTTTATTCAAAAATATGATTTAAATAAACTTAACTAAGAAACAATGCACCTATTGTGGTGGCTGTTGCGATGGCTGTTGCGATGGCTGTTGTGGTGGCTGTTGTGGTGGCTGTTGGGATGGCTGTTGTGGTGGCTGTTGGGATGGCTGTTGTGGTGGCTGTTGTGGTGGCTGTTGGGATGGCTGTTGTGGTGGCTGTTGGGATGACTGTTGGGATGGCTGGTCGGATGGCTGGTCGGATGGCTGTTGTGGTGGCTGTTGTGGTGGCTGTTGTGGTGGCTGTTGGGATGGCTGTTGTGGTGGCTGTTGGGATGGCTGTTGTGGTGGCTGTTGGGATGGCTGTTGGGATGGCTGTTGGGATGGCTGTTGGGATGGCTGTTGTTTTGGCTGTTGGGATGGCTGTTGTGGTGGCTGTTGGGATGACTGTTGGGATGGCTGGTCGGATGGCTGGTCGGATGGCTGTTGTGGTGGCTGTTGGGATGGCTGTTGTTTTGGCTGTTGGGATGGCTGTTGTGGTGGCTGTTGGGATGACTGTTGGGATGACTGTTGGGATGACTGTTGGGATGACTGTTGGGATGGCTATTGGGATGGGTATTGTGGTGGTCATTTCGATCTCATCCGGCTTTGGTGGCTTATTAAAGCAGTTCAAATAATTGTGCCACAACTTCTTCAGTTTCTTAAAAACGAACCTAAAATATTCAATTATAGTCTCATCGTATATCCCGATTGGATTGATAATCGAGTTGATAGGGAGGAAGAAAATGCAAAAAACAGAATAGAAGTTTGAGGTGTCAATCAACTCTGTAAAGTTGATGATGCACACTATGATGAAAGGCAGCCACGTCAGCACATCTGTTAAGATAATTATGGTAATTTTCCTCTGAAGTTTCCGGCTCCTTTTGGCAGCTTCTGTGGTCCTATTTTTTGCAACAGCACCTGAAACATTTCTTGAGAAGATGCTGATCATGATGTAACAGCCTCCAATTATCAGCACACACACCAGATTTGTAAAGAGAACAGCCATAGAGAACCAACGGTAAGGAGTGTTCCCTCTCACAAAGTAACTGAACAAACAGAAACCGTTTTCCCCGTAGAAACCTATGCTAGTTCCGGTGACGATGTTGTTTTCAAACATTTCCCTAACGAGGTGCCGAACAGTTCTCCAAGGCATTTCAGTCTGTAAAGATATTCCACTGTAGATTCTACCAAAGTAAGCTTCGAAGATTTTCATGTGCTTTCTCTTATTTGGGGCTCCAACAAAAAGAGAATTTTTTTGATAGTTCAGATTTTGAACAAAATAATCCTCCAGTGTTATTTCTGGAAATATTGCGAAGAGAAGGGCACCTAAAAATATTGTCAACACTGCAGCTGATAGATATACTTTTTTCTTTCTTGACAAACCGTCCGCTGGTGGAACTAGCGATCTTATGGTGGAAGCTCGGATGATGCTGAGGATTGTCATTGAGTAGAGGGATACCAAAGAGCCGATAGTGGATAAAACTCCCAAAGAAACACAGAGCTTGCTGGTAGTCCATTCGAACTGCGTCTGGCAAGAGCTCTTGTTAAAGAAACTGTCAACTACAGCTAGCATCAGCAAGAACAACCCTTGCAGCAAGTCTCCAACAGTAATCATCAGAACAAAGCAATTATTTACCAGTGCTTTATCTTTCTTTAGTTTGGTGCCTTTAAGAAGTCCGTGGTAAAGAGCGAAGATGTTCAAGATAATAGAACCTGACCCGAAAAGCCACGCAACAACGAGCAATATAGAATAGTTGAACATCTTCACCTGGTGGTCACACTCCTCATTACACTCGTCTGAGATGTCAAAGCAATCAAATATTCTGTCGCACTTCTTGGAGAGAGGTATGAACTCTCCTGATTTACATTTGAAATTATTTATACAGTCTTCCTCATCAGACTGATCTTTGCAATCATCCTCTAAGTTGCAAACTTTTTCAAACTCAATACAGACCCCGTTGTTACAGGCAAAGTACTCTTTGCTGTATCTTTTGCCATCATCAACTGCCAAAGATAAGGTGTCGTCTTCCCCCAACGAGAAAACAAGTTTGGACTTCGGAAAGTTCAGACAGTTAGATGCTACCAGTGGTTTTAGAGGACAGGCCGCTGCAAAATTACAATGACCAGCACATGAAACATACACAAGGTACTCTCCGAACAGATGTCTACAATCGATATATGATTTGGCATAAACTTCTGAAGTGGTTACATAAGAATCTTCGATTCCCGCTACTCTTGTTTGATAAGTAAGCCTAGTGTAAGAACACTTTCCCGCATGGTTCTCAAGGTTACTTAAACCTTGCAAACAGTAAAGCAAAGTTAGACTTACATTTTGTCTCATTTTCACTTGACTGATGACCTCATATTCTTTCCGGGCAGCAACGCATACCTGAGAATCGCAGTTATTAGAGATTCCTGAGCACACTCTATCTAAGTTTAGTCTACTGTCTGTTTTAGGGCACTTAAGTTGAGTTATCAGACTGCAATCTATAGCGCCACGTTTACCGGTAAACGAATGTGTTACCCGAGTCCCCGATCCGCACTCCTTGGCCCATGCAGCAGGATCTTCATCTATACTGTTCATGCAATCCACCACCCCGTCCAAGATCCATTGACGAGGAATGTTTGTAACAGACTTGTTGTAAGAGAATCTTCTCACACAGCCTATTTCAGTGGCAACTAAATCCTCACAGAAGAATTTGCTCTCGTCATGTCTGTTATTGCAGTCGCCGACACCATCGCATAACTGGTGCTTGTGTATTTTACACTGAAACTCCGCTTCTATGCAGACATCATCCAAATTGTCATCACAGAGAGCGAAGTTTTTGCAGATGACATGCAGGGAGATGGTAGTTGGGTAGCCGTTCACATCGCATATCAGAGGGCTGATTGTGGAATAAGTACAGTTCATCTGATCTCTTTGCTTATCGCACATCTTAAACACAGAATCGGGCAATGAGCATTTCGACCTAGGAGTTAGTACTCTGAACTGATCGTAAAGCCCATAGCAAGTTTCCGCCGTGTTGCGGCACACTAGCTCATCGAATCTATTGGCACAAATGTTCGGCAGACCAGTACATAGGTTGTACGGTTTAATGTATACATTTATATTATCCCGGTTCTTACAAAAAATCCCTACAGTCATGTTGTGACATTTTGCTTCGTCATCGCAAAGTGTACAGTCACATTTTTTATCGCACATTAAATCTTTTCCTATAACTTTGTCCTTAGAGGGAGGATCAGAAACACACTTGTAAACCCGAGGGGTTTTTTCGCAGCCGTACTGATCTACTTTTACTCCCCCAATTTCATTATCACAAAATGTAACATTAGGGTCTGAGCACCGTTCTAAATCCCAACGTTCTTTATTAAAC